TATACACGAGATGCGCTCACAGAATTTCGAAAACAAAATTTTAGTTCCAAAATTTTCACTAGAGGGTGCCTTTTTGGGGAAAAACATGAAATTTAACACAATAAATTATCAAAACAGAATACAGAAACTAATATTAACATTTCAAAACAAGAATTATGAAAATAAAATGCAAAACCGGGAAAAGCTGTCAACTGTAGGAGGAAAATGTCGAGATTTGCATACTTGAAAAGAATAGGAAGCTTTATGGAAAACAGGTTAGGGTATAAAACATTTGCAGACATTGTTTGTCATGTTAAAGTTGATGTTTTTGGCTTTACTAATGATGCTCTTTAGTTAAACGTGCGTTATTGGTGAAGCTGCTTCATGAAAACAAGGGGAATGCTTCTGCTGAAGTTCGTGAATTTCATTGTAGAAAGAACCTACGGCATGGACCAATGTCTACTAAAGGTATCCGGGCCATGATTAAGAGATCTGAAGAGACATGGAAATTAGTAGTTCAACCTGGAAGAGGTCATATATGTGTCACACCGGTACTTGTTGATACCGTCAAGACAGCTGTTGACGCACAGTCACAGACATCAGAGTTTGGGGACAGTAGCATGGGTGTAGTTTTTTGACAAACAGGCTATTTCTACAGCAACATCTGAAAAGACCTCAGAAATATAATGCACTACTAAGATCCGCCATACTCAGGACCTGCTTGATAGGGACAACCCACAATGTCTCTCATTCACAGTCAGTTTTTTCAACAGAACGACTATTGATCTGTCATGGTCTTGAAATATTCTGTTGAGTGAGGATGCTCTTTTTCTACCTCAGTGGGACAGTCAATACACAGAATTGCCGCATTTGGGCAAAGTAAAATCCATGGATCCACACTGAAATTCCCCTACAGTCTCCAAAGGTCAGTGTCTGATGTGGATTCAAAGTGATATTCATCCTTGGAACATTCTTCTTTGAGGAAATCCGTGAATGTGAGCCTGTAACATGTTCCTTTACGGGCTGTCGTTACTATGACATGCTGCAGACGTTTGTGGGGCCACAACTACAGAAAAGGCGAATCCTTACATTGACCATTTTCATGCAGGATGGCACCCCCCTGACATATCCATGGGTATGTAAGGGCGTTATTTCTCCAAGACCTCACAGAGGAATGTGTTATTAGTTGCTTCTTTCCTAACACATGCCCCCCCCCCAGTTGACTGGATCTAACTCCGTGCGATTTTTGGTTATGGGGCTATTTAAAGAGTCTGGTGTACCGTGAAGATGTTGCAACATTGAATGACTTAAAGAACTCCATAATGCTTTATGTGCGATGCTTCATGGGGCTATTTAAAAAGTCTAGTGTATCGTGAAGATGTTGCAACATTGAATGACTTAAAGAACTCCATAATGCTTTATGTGCGATGCTTCACAACTGATCAGTTATGATCTGCTGTTGAACACACTGTCCATCGACTTGAAATTTTGCAGGCAAATAAAGGTGGTCACGTGCAGCACCTTTCCTTACATCATCCTGGACACAATTAACAACTGCTCCTCTTGTGCAATTTCATCCTAATCAGTTCTTGTTTCTGTAAACTGAACTGTTTTTGTTTCTCCCTTACCTTTACTTATTGTAGTTCGATGAAAAGGTGATAAGAAACTAGTCAATAAATGTTAATATTGTTTCTGTATTCCGTTTTGGTCGTTTATTGTGTTAAACTTCATGTTTCTCCTGAAAAGGTGCAATCTGGTGGACACTTTGGAACTAATTTTTTTTGTTTTGAAATTCCATGGGCGCATCTCGTGTATAGCCCATATACAAAACATTATTGCATTCTGTTCACACTTTTGCACTATAGGATGCCGTTTATAGGGAAAGTTTAATTATAACCACCCATTACTTTAATGCTTATAACCGTTGACTGTTTAAATGAAAAAAGAGGTAAGTTTAAATTAATTCAATATTTGACAGAAATTGGTTCTCATTATTTAACTGAAATGTTTTGAAAGAACTTAATTTCTTGCTTGTATTAAGATTCTATATTTAAATTTTATCATTTGGTGCTACTGCACCTATTTACCAAATGGAATAAATGAACAATATCGGTGGCATATCATGACCTTTTAAGTTATACACCAGGAATTCCACCAACCTATTACTGTATATTTTTCTTATGTACACTGCCCTAAAGGGACAATTTTATATCTTCCCCTCTACTCGGCCGATTGTCCATTGATTTTTTCATGTCTCGAAAGCGCGACTTAGGATATATATATATATATATTGGATTTATACATAGCATCATTCTAACATAGGTATTTTGACGGAAAATCGGAATTTTTTTGAAATGACATGACAATTTTTTCCATATTTTGATTCTGCGACTCAAATTATGCCTAAATATTAAATTTTATAAAATTTGGTGCGAAATTTACAGAGAAATTAAAAGATTTATTTTGACAAATTTTTTTCAGTTTTCGTCAAGAATAATTTACTTGGCGAACTTCTTAATTTAAAGCAACCTATTTTCCTTTTCTTTGTTTCATTGTAGATGAGCTGAAAAAAGTCATCGTTCATACTTTCAAACAATTTTAACAAGGTGTGTATTATCGCTTGGCGTTATTATTGCTAAAAAAAAAGATGCCAAATTTCAAAACGCTCCAATATGTAAATTCATGTATGTCTTAGTGTTGAGAATCGAGCATTTAATTGATATTATGTGCAGTTTCAGTGGCATCATTGTTTTATTGTTTTATTATGTTTTATGCAACTGGCATCACTATTATTTTCATCATTTTAAAAGTTGTCATGTAAACAATAAGACGTACGTAAGTTCTCTTTATTTTTTTGTTAATAAAGGCCAAAAATTCAATTAGCCATCACTCTGTTTGTTAATTTTATAACACTTAATTTTGGATAAAAAAACCCTAATTTTTTCCAGGTGTGCCTAGAAATACATCTACTTTAAGACAATGTTAAAAATTGTACAAATTAAAATGCGAAACATTTTTCAAAAAATTTATAAAAAATATTTATAAATAAAAGTTTAGAAATATATCATAAAAAATGTGCGAATTATATTTGGATTAAGCCTAAATTTCATATTCTGCAAGTTGTAATAATCAAGTAAGTTTAATAAAAAAAGAAATAATTATAAATATACATCAAATTCAATTAACATTGAGGAGCTAAAATTTTAAGAGCTAATTTTTTAAAAACTACTCATGCGATTTTAACAAAACTTGGCAGTTTAACATAATTCGAGTCATATAATTGAAATATGGAAAAAAAATTGGCATGCCATGTCAGGAAAAGTCTGATTTAGTGTCAAAATACTTTTATTTGAAGAATGCTATATATAAATCTAATACATATCCTAAGTCGCTCTTTCAAGACATGAAAAACGAAAGTTGAATTTCGTCAATCGGCCCAGTAGAACGGGAGATATGGAATTGTCCCACTCTTTTTTTTTTTTTGCAGTGTATATGTATGCATAATGTATATCACAACATCATCTGTTGTTAAACAAACAACTAATACTTACAAAATGATTTTACAACTGTACTGTATATATGTAATACTGTAGATAATTAGAAGTATAAAATATTCAGTGGGAACCTTACATTGCCATTTCACTCTCTAGCTGACTGAAAATTCATTTTATATAACATTTCAAAGTAACCACTATGGCTGACTGAACTACCGTGTTCAGTGACTTTACCGCTTGGCTGCTGGTGGGCCTCTCAGAGTTCATGTAAAATCCATGTTGGATATTGGATTTTTAGCAGATGTCTGTCTCAGAAGGTAGATATTAACTTATTATTATTTCAGTAAATGCTTCGATAAGAGTCACAAAATATTCATTCTTCAAAGCTTTCACAGAGTGGAGGGACTTTTTTTAAGCTATAATATAAATTTTTATAATTTCAAGCTACAACTTCTATTTTTTTAACAACTTGAATAAAATTTAAGTTTGCTTAATTTAATTTTATTAAATATGCATTGATAATCAATAATTTAAATTTGTTAACATGCACTGAAAGTCAAAGCTCATTACTTAGTCCTGTAAACATGGAAGGCTAAAAAAATATTAATATTTGAGTAGTTTAATGGACTTCCTGCCCACACTATCAGCTAAAATGTAAGGTTGTACAATTTAGTGAAAGCTTAAAGCATGTGAATTTAATTTTAAAAATTTAAGCATTAAAAATACACATAAATTCTTCACAGAAAAGAATATGCTATTTATCAATTACATTAGATCATAGAACCAAGCAACTAGCGATCATCATACATCCTATAAAATAAAACTTGTTAAAATGAATAAACCAAGAAAACATTGTTTAAATTTTAAACTAAGTAGGGATCATCATACATTCAACAAAATAAAACTTGTTAAAATGAGTAAGCCAGGGAGACATTGTTCAAATTTTAGTATATTTCTTTAAAAAAAAATTAAATAAATAAATAAAAAACTACAGATATACCATAATTCATAGTGTACAAGTCAACTTAATGTCACAATGGGTAATTTAATAACAAAATTTATATTTTTTAAGTACCAGATGCAATATATAGGGCATTTAGTATCAAAATTCACATCCTACAGAAATGAAAAATAGGTAGGTTATACAGTAAGGTCCAGAGCTATCATTAAAAAATATGCTAATACTTTTAGGTATTAGAATATCTATCTCTTAATAAAAAAAGAAAACAGAAAAGTTGTATTTGGTATTAATCCATTAATTTTACCAGGTAATGTACATTACAGAATTTATATTCTTTCAAAATACATTTAAAGAAAGGTTTTTAAAGAATTACAAATTTAGTCAAGATTACATTAAGAGACATATTTTTGAATCTATTTTATGGTTTTTTAATAAACAAAGCACAATTTTCAGTTCTCAAAAGTTGTCATTTGTCACAATATAATAATAATAATAATATATTATGCATAATTCCTTTTAAAATAAATGCTAAAAGGAAATTTTTAGGATATAATGATTGAACTTACCAGTGATGCTGCAACACCTTTCAATAATTCCACAGGAATCATACATGGCATAGAATCTATAGATAAATTATCACCAGACTTGGTTTTTACAGTTATAGCCCGTTTTTTTAATGGAGCTAAATTCATCATGTCTAGAAGAGCATGATCTCCTAAATATAATTAATATATTAAATGAATGAAAAATTTAAAATACATAAAATAATTATAATCAGTTTATAAGAATATGATAACATGATATGATATATCTGCAAGTTTCACATAAACTATGAAATCTACTAGCAAACAAGAGCTATACCTCAGTTTTCATTGAAAACCCCCAGTAGTTGGAATCTGGGGGTCTCATATCCATCTTTCCTTATCACCAACTTCTCTAGAAGACTTGAAGATTGACGTTTTAAGTGTGCTCATGTCATAAAGACTCTTAATTTCAAAATGTGATGCCTTATTCAAGATCTGAATCTAATGATATATAGCAATCATCCAACCTCTATCAAATATGATTTACAAGAAAGGTGGTTAAACTTCATGTTGGAATTCAGGAAGGTTCGAGAATTCAAAACTGAATTTCCAAAAGCCACAAACAGTGCAAATTTTTTACTTTAAAATTCGTGAAACAGGTTTCAAATGGAGAGAAATGTCTGATTCTAAACAGTCATTCAATGATAGTTCGCCTTTAGCATGTAATGATACACTGAAGATAATGCAAAGTTTAGTTGTATCTTTGTTTTCTCTAATTATAGCTTGACGTAGTAATAAGTACTTTTTTTCAGTTTTTAAATGCTCCAATTCTTTCATGATACCTTCTTGTAAATGTTGTTCAATCACAGCTTTGCAATGCTCATGAAGCTTCAGATTCTTCTTAAATCTGCACCACAGCAACTGAAATTGTTCTGCTACTTCAAAATTCTCTTAGATTTATTAGAAATTCCCAAAGCTTCCAACTGCCATAAATTTCTCATTAATTCAGACATCAAATTAATTTCTAAATTATTAACTTGTATCAGATTCCACATATTATTACATGTTTCGGATGCATTACAAGTGTTTTCTGTTCCATTTACATGGCACACCAATTTAGTTTCTACAGCTATTAACAGTTCAGAAATTTGGCAGAACTTTCCTGTAAAGCATCCATATGCAACTTTGCATCGACTTGTAAAGCATCCACAACCAAATCTAACTTTTAAAGACACTTTTTTACATAATTCTTATACTGATAGAATCAGTATAATACTTTTAGTTATTTTTATATGTTTTCGGGTAACATCATGAAATTTCTTAAGTAACAATAAATGAAATGAAATTATCACATTTCGACATTGCTCAGTTTAAGTTTACTAATAGCTTTGTAAAATGAAATGAAATAAATTATTTTCTTTTGGACAATGAGTAGTTTTAGTTTATCACATTTCATAGAATATTTTAGTTACAAGACAGCTGCTACACTTATCAGCAAAAGCCACATGCTTTATATGGTCACTATGCCCACCCTTGATTTATATGGTCTGATATGCCAAAAACACTTGTACTTAATTTAACGAGAATAAATGTTAAAGTTAAGGAAAATATAAGCTGACTGATGCTACACAAAATGTTACTCAAGGAGTCAAAGATTATAGGGAAGCATGCAAAAATGAGCAGAGTAATTTTAAGAAATCTAACTTGGCCAGCATGACCTTCGCTAATTCCATATTTTAAATAACAATGAGTTTTAACTAAAGTATCAAATAATAGTTTACTTAAAACTCATTGCTATTTAAAACACGGAACTGGTTGGTAATTTAGAAATAAAATCTAATATATTCACAACATCAGGCCTCTATATTAATTTATAAACTCTACTTGTTTTTTATTATTCTATTCTCCCATGCAATGGAAAATGATATTGTTATGAAATGTCCAGCTGCAGCAAGATAGCTGCCCCACAAAATGGGTTTAGGGTTGCCAGAAAATGGCAAAGGAAGGTAGGGTTGCCATATTTGGCAAGAAATCACCCTTTTGGCGATACGCCACAGATGAATGGAAAACCTTCTAGAACAAATTCTTACCAGTTTGAACCAGAATGTTCTCAAAGGCAGCCCAAAAGCTATATAAACCCTGCCAGCATGCAGAGTCAGTCAGTTAATAGTCAGTGAGTGAGCGAGAGCCAATCGAGTGAGTAGATCATCAGTCAGTGTCTAGTCTAGCGAGTTGATCGTTGAGAGTATCGCGAGTCTAGCGAGTGCATCATCGAGTGTATCGTTGAGTGCATTGGGGGTTGTAGTGTGGAAAGTCTTGAGAGCATGTTGAGTTCTGAGAACCACCAAACAGAATCCGGAGCTGTACTCTGGTGCTTTGCCATAAAGCCATCTTCACCGTTATAGCCTAAAGGCTGGAGTTTTGAGACTATGTTGAGTTCCAAGAATGACCGAACTGAGTCGGAAGCTGTACTCTGGTGCTTTGCTGTGAAGCTGTCTTCACCGTTTAGCCAAGATAAAAGCCGGACAAGAAGAGATGGAAGCCAGAAATGAAGAATTGAATGCCGGATATGAAAAGATTGGACAAGAAGAGTTACTGATCAAAAATTAAATCATGTCGGGAAGAAATAAAAGCTGGCTAGGAAAAGCTGCAAGAACAACTTTAACAGATGAAAGTGGAGCTTACAGAAGAAACTGGAGCCATAAAAGAAGATGTGGAAATGACAGAAGTGGCATCTTAAGAATCAAAGGATGAAGAAATGAAGGAAGTGGCTGGTGAAGAGTCTGAGAAAGATCAAGAAATGACGGATGAAACATCTAACCGGATTAAAGAAAAAGAATGAAAACATAAAGAAATAAAAGATGGAATGGAAGCGTTTGATTCTCAAATGCCTGAAGAAGATGTGGAAGAAAGTGAAGATGAGACTGTTAAATTTGTAGAAACTGATAAGTTGAGTTACGAAGTCGCAGTCAGCAAGTATTGAACCATCTGAAACTGCATGTGATGCAGAGATGGAGAAGCTGATGTACAGTTTAAGCCAGGGATGGGTCAACTACGGCCCACGGATAGAATTTTAATTTGCCGGTCGGAGGAAAATTAAAAGAAATATATATTTATATATTACTTATCCATTTCTACTTTTTTTAAATATTATTTTTTTCCTTCCTTTTTTTTAAAGGACTGATCTTTTTACTTTCTCTATTTTTGTTCTACAAAACATAAATCGAAGGAAATAGCAAGCACAGACAGCTTTCAATCGGTAAAGTATTAAAAGCGGAAGTTCTTTGTTAATTATAGTTGTAGATTGGTGCCAACAAGCGTTATTTCTTTCTCGGAGAGCAGACATATGGGAATCCAATATAGGTGAATTAGACCTCACATAGGGCAGACTGTACATTTTATGATACAGCCAGCGGCTTTATTTTTTACATATGAGTTCTAATATTATTGACTGCGTATGAAAAGTTTGCGGACATATAGCATCATTGTGAATAGTGGTAAAACTATTAAAAGTATAGCATAGCTAGTGCTTGCTTGGGTTAATCATAAAATATTTCAACCTTAAAATGGGTACTAAAAACATAAAGTTGATTCAGAGAGTTGTGAGTTTAATGATAAATGAACCTAGAAATATTTTTTACAGCTGTAAAAGATAAACCAGTATGTCTCATTTGCAATGAAGTTGTAACAGTCTTCAAGGAATATAACATTTCCCATCTAATCATAAAAATTCCAATTACGGAGCAATGCCGAATTTGAAAGCAAACAAAATGCAGAAAGTTTTTGTAAAAAAACTACCAGGCCAACAAAATTTTTCCAAGAAGGTAAACAGTATCCAACATGCAAGTTACATTGCAGCATACAATATTACTAAAAATAATACAGCTCTCAGTGATGGGGAGTTCGTTAGACAATGCATGCTCCAAGTTTGTGATGTTTTATGTCCAGACAAGAAAAAATAATTTTGAAACTGCAAGCTTATCTCGAAAAACAGTGAATTCTAGAATTGAAGACATTGGTAAAAATTTGACATCACAATTAGAGTCAAAGATTGGCCAGTTTAAATTTTACTCCATTGCTATGGATGAAAGCACTGGTATAAATGATATTGCTCAATTAGTATTATTTATAAAAGGTGTTGATTAGAACTTTGAAATCACCGAGGAAATGGCGTGCATGTGTTCTTTAAAAGGAACTAGAACAGGATGTGACACTTTTCGTGAATTTCAGGAGGGGTTTTAACTTTGAAAGTGTCTATAACAAATATATGCAATATTACGACTGATGAAGCACTAAATATGACAGGAAAAAAATCTGTATTTCTTGGAAACTTTAATTAAAACTATCCCGAGAACAATATTTTCCTGCATTGTGTTTTACATAAAGATGCTCTGTGTAAATCTGCACTGAATATGAAACCTGTGCTCGATGCAGTCGTGAAGCTTGTAAATACTATTCGATCTCGTGGGCTTACTCACAGGCAATTTTGAGATTTTCTTCAGTCCATGCAACATAAATACTCTGTATTACACGAATTACTGTAGTACACGAAAGTAAGGTGAGGGATGTGTTTTCGAGCCAGTTTGGCAGCTAAAAGACGACATAGTGTTGTTCGTCTATGAGAAACGGTGTTCTGCGGAGTGCGAAATGTTAGAAGACACAGAATGGCTTTCGGACTTTGCATTTTTCACAAATCTTCTTTGTCATATGAGCAACTTGAATGCCAAGATGCAAGGGAAAAATCAATTCATAGATGATATCTGGGCCCATCTCAAAGCTTTTAAACTAAAACATAATCTGTTTGCTCGGCAGCTACGACTTGTCTCATGTCTCGAGGTTGAATTCAGTACCCTCAGTAAATGAAGAGCAGCTTAAGAATTATGAAGATGGCTTGAAAAAAACTGCATTTTGAGTTCGAATGCTGATTTCAAGATTTAAGTGCCATTAAAATAGAATTAGATATTTTACCATGCCTTTTGACATAAATTGTGAAGCAGTGACGTCAAATTTGCAGCTTGAATTAATTGAGTTGTAATATAATTATCATCTCAAGCAGTTGTTTCTAAATATGCCAAAGTTAGAGTTTTACAAATCATTATAAAAAGTAAGTTTGTAAGGATCCTAAGTTTCACTAACGTTTATTTTATTTTAAAACTGTACTATCACTTCTTATTTTCTACTTCTGGCCAGA